AAACTAAAATACAAAAATGTTCACCATTTTCTTTTATTTTCTTCTCAATCATTTATGGAAGTGCCAAAAAGCCTGATGACAAAAAAAAAGTAAAGAGGATGAGCAAATTTCAGCAGGTTTATGTTAAGCTCATCGCCGTTTGCAAGCACAGTCGAGATTCTCCCATACAGACCTCCAGCTCGGTTAATAAGAGCTAAAAACAACTTTCCTGATTCCTTTGAGAGCAGAGTTTGAATTATTATTGTAAGTAATATTTAAAAATTGGGATAATCATTAAAATTCTTGAAATCAAACAACTGAAAATTCATACAAATTATGCTAGAGGTTTCTTCAGCTTAGGAAAATTCACCAAGGACACCGTAATTAGTAACGCAATTAAGATCATAAAGAAGAATTGCCATAGGGGTTTTTGTATTCTTTTGAAAATAGTAATTATCTAAAACAACCTGACCTGTTATTTTTTAAAATTTTCTTAATCATTCCAAAAATGTGTTAAAATAAAAAATAAAAATCCTCAGCAATTTACTTTAACCGCTGTTCTAATGTTTTGTCAAACCAACCCGCACGAAAGAAACACACACTAGAACGTAAATTGATATTCTCGATGAGATACGAAAATATTGACTGAATTAACAAGATGGAGATAACCCAAACCAAATGTCTCTCTGTATGCTTCCGCCGAGTGTTGTAAGAAAAGAAAACAAGGAAATCGTTTGCCAATTCAAAAAATATTGTGCTACCTGCGAAGGGGCAGTATTTGAATATTGTATCCAATTCATTTTGAATTTAAGAATGGATTGCACTAAAACTATGTACAAGCATGTATCGCTCTAGTAAGATTGTATTGACTTCGCAAAAATCAATCGCTCAACGGGTATAGTAACTGTAATTGGCTAGCAAGAACGACGTCTTTAAAATCGGTGACTTTAAAACAGCATTTCGTGTTCACATTTGACGGTGAGATAGCGAGAACTGAGCCCTCAGGTAAAGACCAAAAAACATGAGTGTTCGCGCTGTCGTACACTGAGCCTTTGTTTTGAATCTAGAATGGTTAAACTTAATTAAAAGAAGGGTCTAGCTTGTTTACTCGAAGCAAAGGAAGTACGGAAACATTTGCCGTTATTTTCCTTACCATCTTGACTTTGTGATGCCCCGTTGTCCCAGGGACACGTACTCGGTAGATCCCTTTCAGAAACGTGTCGTTGTAGAAAGCTTCGTAGTCCGTTCTCTTTGCCAAGTCGCTTAGTTTCGACTCGGGAAGAGATCGCGGCAGTGGATGTTCCGCGGGCCTCTGTACAAAGTAAAAAAACAAAATTACAAAACAAATATATCAGAAATGACGATCGATAAAGAGAAAACCAACGAGCGAGTTAAGAATACCACAAGAAATTGAAACCGCCTACTAGAAAGACCTCGTGCATACCTTCGCATTGCTACTGCCACTTCCTTGAGAAATGTTCACGGAAAACAGTAAAAGAAGCGCTAAAGTCCACCACATTCTTCCTTCGACGCTCAACGGCGAAGGCCACTAGATAAATGAATCACAAAAACAGCTGCTCTCTCATTTTATATCTTCAACTAATTGATTGAACTTATTTATGTCTTTATCTCATTTGAGCGCTCGTGACCGCGCGCTCTGCCTCGCTTTGGTGAGGAGTTTTTCCGGTCTAAGTCGAGGCCGGAAGGAGATACGCAAGGCTAACTCACAATTTATCTCAAAATATTTATGAATTTCTGCCCGACTTTTACTCTTTTTATTATTTTTTTCCTCTAGCAGTGGACAGCTAAAGCATATTTCTTAAAAGGTATTAAGCAATTTTCATTTGTCACACTTTTGTATTCTCACTGTTTGCGTATTCGACGCCTCCATTGTCTAAGAGATGATTGGAGATATTAGCCGAGTGCACACCGAAGCGATAGTATTTTGCGACGAATGGTCTTTTGTCAACAATTCGCGTAACTATAATCCACTTGAAAGATGAAAAGAAATTTAAAAGGCTGTCTCGGCTGTTGCTCTCCAACTCGTTATATTTCGCTCAATTATCAGGTGTCAAAGACCGCAAAACATGGCGATAACCTTTCGCTGTGGTGAACACACTGGTCAGTGAGATGAAGCGATCCATATATCCTTCCGGTATAACTGAACCGCATGTGGTTTCAGCTCACCTTGTATTTAACTCTTCCTTTACTTCACTACACTTTCAATTCAAGTTAGATACGTACAAAGAACAAATTTCAATAAAATCGCTATGGCCATCAACAGAGCAGTTAATTTTTTTTTTTAGTGTGCCCTGAGATATTTAGTCCTTTTGTTTATACAGCTGACTTGGAAAGCGAAATATTAAGGCGCTGAATTATTCAACCATGTCAGTTACCTAAAACATAAGGCAATTTATTTGCATACAAACTATGACTCGAAGAAACGCTATTCGCTAATTTTAACGAACACAATCTTATTACCGAGGATGGCGAAAAAAGGCCGCCAGGCCGGATAGACAAAAAAGGAAAGGGATTTTATAAATTTCTAAATAGATTTCCAATAATCCGGTTAGCACTTTATAAGTTATCAACGCTGCATTCACTTTGCTCGGATTTTGAGAAGAAAATTGTCTCATTTTTCGATAAGTTGTCAGCAGCGTTTTGTTATTAGATATTCCTTTTGGCATAAATGTAGCCTCTCTCACGGAAGATACATCAAGTTTTTTAAACACGGAAATATTTAATAGGAATCAGGGTTTTGGTCAACGAATCGCTGTGATGAACTCTGTTTCACACGGAAAGACAGGAAAACCACAGGAAAATTATTTTCCTAAAACAGCTCTAAACTATAATAATCAGTTTCGTTGGCACTTGTCTTCGATATACCAGCTTATCAATTTAGACATATTAGAAGAAAACCTACCGATCTAAACCCTTCCTACTAGGTATGTAATTCAATTTCCCTCCCGATGTTGACTATGCCATCCTAAAGGCTTTAAAAATCAGGGGAAATTGCTCTGCCTTCAAAATCAACAATTTTCTTATTAGCTGTGGTACATTAAAAGCTTTAGGGCAACTGTGATAAATTAAACGCCAGGGTTTGAACTGGCGCAAGATATTAGAATTCCCCAAGCGGGCAGTATGCTTTTCAGCTGACGGAAACATGATGCAGCTTCTTCCGTGACCTGTTTGTCAGACGACTGTTTTCTTTTGATTTCAGACCCTACGCTGTAACCACTTACCCAGTAATTCACTGGACGAGAAAATTTTCAATTATTTTGAACAATGTCGTGTTTGCAGTATGGAAAACAGCAAGGCTTCAGCATAAACCAAAAGAAGAGGTTGCAGTTACTCCACGCTTTTATTAGTGTTTTGCCCGACTAAAACTGCTTTCGATAAAGTAAAATTGGCTCTATTTTTGTTCATTCATTTTGTCAGCATCTCCCAAAGATTAAATGGTTTTCCTGCCTTCAATATGCACAGGCCTGATCTCAACAAAATAATGCGATTTGCACGGCTTCGTCACCCCCGCTGTTTTGAAATTTTTTCTTTATTCCCAACACATTCATGGTTACATGCAAGCATTGTCTTATTCGAGTGTTAATTAAAGCGGACCATTCTGGAATTAACTAACGAACGCCGAGATACTACTCCTAATAATTTCTGTCAAGCCAAGACCAATCATTCGACGAAAAGGGCGTTGAGCATTAAGCTTCTATTTAATTTCCGAATTTAAATAGTTTTCGAATTCTTAAATCAGCCGGAAAACCGAGAAACATGTCTGCCAGTCGCTCAACAGCTGAAAATCATTATATCTTAGCTTGTTTTTCTCTATTCGGAACTGTTTTGGGCTGAGAGCATTTGAAGAATCTATAAGTAGAAAGCGTTTGGACAGCGGCTAAAAGCAAACAGGAACAACTAAATAGATAAATAAAATTGAAAAGTGAGGAAGTAATTTCTAACATTTGGCTCATTCAATCAAGGAGATTCGTTCTAGAGGAGATATATCTGCCTCAGGAAACCCACGCAAAATATAACAACTCAGTGAATGAACAACACGGCAAAAAGGGCGTTCTGTTTCATGGTGGCTGACGAAATTTTTAATTTGACAAACTGTACTCATTTATGTCAACTGGATGAAATTCATTTATGTTGAATATCAATACAAGTGTACTGACTTATTGGTATTCTAAAGAAATATCTTAAAAGTTGATTGAAAAAAAAAAATGATTGCCACAAGAGACGAGAGAAGTCTCAACTGGCTTACGCTTGTTTCATACGCCTCGTAATTGCTGTAGTCAAATTAAACAAAACAAGGGTCCGTTTGTTGACCAAGCAACACATGCAGGGGAAACGTCACACACAAAAATACATTTTTCAATTGGTTTAATTACGGTTCGCCCATGTCAGATATCCGGTAAAATAAGAGAAATAACTAGACACAGCCTCGAGGAGTATAATATAATAAAACGAATCAAAACAAAATTAGTTGATTGCAACACACGAAAATAGCACGAATCCCTGTTCCTGTTTGAATGGACCTTTTTCGGGCATGCGCATGTCAAGTCAAGTCTCCCGCTCATTTTCTTGTTTCCAAAAACAGCGACATGATCAGAGAAAGCGTGACTTTCCTCAGTGTATTCCATTTAGTTCGCCACCAAAAATGATCACAAAAAAGTAACAATAAAGAGACATTTATAGGTACTAAATAATACTGAAACCGAATTTCCGCGTATTGTTATTTTTTTTCCTGATATTATTTTCCTCAGAAATCCAATGAAGTGATTGCGAATTTCATCAGTTGCAAGAAACTTAATCGAATTTCTTTCAATTACACCACAGGATAGGCTTAATTTCGACGCTTTTTGAGCCGGGGTAAATGGTAGGAAAATTCTCTAGCAAAGTTGGCAGAAAATGCGAGAAATGTTGAATTAATTAATTTCGGAAATGCGAACCATTTAAAGGAAAATTCGCGAAATTCAGAGAGTGACCTTTGAATAACGACGCAACAAGACTTCCATAAGATTACGTTACCTGCTGATAAAGATGACATTCTCCATATCAGTCGCCTTCTGTGAAACTAACAATGATTGAAATTTCTGGTATGGCGTAGTTTTCTTCGGTTTAGTAACGGGCAAAATGAATGTAATCAAACGGCGATCTGAATTTTATTCACGCTTTCCAGTCATTATTAGAAACAGCAAAAAAAATTGACAGCTTAACTTACAGTGTTCGTGCAGTGATTGGTCAATAAATACCTTTGGAAACAACGTACTAACCAATTATATTTCATGATAGTTACAGACACCTGTAAAATAAGCTTGTTCCCAGTCTCGCGCGAGTTTTTGATGTGGCAAATCGACAAATGGGGTGTAATATCTCGGTTCATCGTGCACTTGTCAGTTACCTTGCAAAATTACGTCAAAGCGAAACAAGCTACTGCTAAGTTCAAGGGGATAATTATTTTTCAACTTTGTAAACAATGTCTGATGTTGTCCAAAGGGCATACACACTGATTGTTGTTCCCTGCCTTGGCACGATGTAGATGTGGAGACATGATTGAACTGACTCGGTTCTCAAACTAGGATTGTCACTATTTGACTCTAATTCAACCCTGGTTTCTTCCCGAAAAGATCCACTAGTTGATCTCTAACAATAAAAAAAATCATCGAAAGCAACTCCTTCAGACTAGACAAAGTTATAACCAGTGAATATTTTCAGGAGGGAAACCAAGCTTGAATTGCTGAACCAGTTCAAGAATTCGGATATGAAGAAAATATATCAAACTGAACAGGCTATAAATATTGCTCCAACGGATACAACTCAAGTTGATTTTGTCATCGAATCACTCAATACAAATTAATAATAATAATAATAATAATAATAATAATAATAATAATAAAAACAGGTTATGACTCCGTACAAAGGGTTAATGAAGGGTAAGTGTCTGAATACCCCATATAGCCGGGGTCTCAATAGGGTAGGGGCTTTACGGCTAGCGGTAATGTTATGGCCTTTTTACGGCCAGCAGTTAATTTATATGGTCACGTGATACTGGTCAGCCGATACCTTGTTTTGACAGGTCTCAATTGACCAGAACATGGATGTCCAGTATCAAAAATGTACGCTGCAAACCAAGGCTGGATGCTGCGATCGACCAATTAGCTGGAGCATGGCCGCCAAGCGAACCATGCCGCTAGCCATGGTGACCATGAATAAAGAGTTGCTTGGTTTTTTATTTCTATGCATGTATGTGGTTCTCTTCCTGCAGTTATGATGCTCCGCAAGGCTGCCCTTTGGACCGCCGGAGCTGCGCAATTAAAATCATTATAATTTTTATTTAATTGGGATAGATATGAGATTTGATGATAGTGACATTTGGGGTGACGATTCTATTATGAGCACCGTGTTTCAGGGAGAAAGCCGGTTTGAAAACTGAGTGACCCACTCCTAAATGCAAGCTGAAAATTACACCACCCGTCGCCCCTATAAAACATGACATTTTGGTTGTATAAGTTAACAAAACCACAATTTCTGTAAGAAAGTTGTGGTGAAATTTACGTTTTAGATATACTTCCTAATAATAATACAAACGCATCTAAAAGTAAAATTGTTTTCCTTTACTCTTGCAGCATTAAGTCATGTCTGTAAAC